AGCGCAGCTGCAGGGCCCGGCGAGGCGCTGGGCAGGAGCCGCCCGGCAGCCGCCACCGGCAGCGGACCCGTCTCGGCCGCGCCCTCGGGGCGCTGCTGCGGAGCGGCCGCGGCGCTGGGGCCGAGCGGCCGCGGCGGCGCCCGTCGGGACGCGGCGTCCCTGAGGGGCTCCTGGGCGACCCTCGGGGCCGCAAGCAGCGGCCGGGCGGCTGCGGCGGGGCAAGGTTCGCGGTGCTCGCACCTGCTCTGCGCTGCCCCGGCTCTGCCGTGAGGGCGGTAAGGAGGACTTGGCATTTCACAGAGCGCGTGATCTTGTAGCGGCCTCCGCTCTGCCGCCCACTAGGCGCCTCACCGGACTGGCGATGCACTCAGCAGAGTTTATTCCCATGGGAACGGGAGCAGACGGCTGTTGATATGGAAATCAGGCAGCTGAGGATGTGCCTTCCATGGAAATAACAAAAAAATGAATTAAAACAGCAGAATACATAAACTTACATTTCCAAAGACTGGTAACAACCCTCCTCCTGTTCAGGTATATAATTCCAACTTGAAATCAGAATCCTGAATTTGGTGCTTTTTACATGAGCATTATCCTGTATACTGAGTTCTCATTTCAAAGGCAGGTCTTGGGGCTGTACCAAGACACAGGAAAACGATGGAAGAAATGAGGATGATTGCTGGGAGTCCTGGTTCCCAGTTGCCCGTCCTAATATTAGGCTACAGCTAGAAAAGGCTGTTGAGAATGAAATAAACTAAAAATTCACTATATCTTGCAAATTCCACGAGATACAAGACTTCAGAGAAAATGCTACAAATTCAAAAAATCAGCATTCCTACCTCCATTCATTGAGAATCTGGTGCTGGGCATGTTTCATTTGGAAGGAACATCAGCAAAGATTAATTTTGCTTTCATCTTTTTTTCTTAGTTAAGGGTTGGTCTGAATTTTGTTATAAAGTTGGCCTAATGCCCTATCCATTAGTTGTTATATGACTCAGAAAAATGACTGTTTGCAAACTGAGGAGGATATTTAGGTGAAAAAAATTGTATATTATAAGTAAAACATGCTGTTTCTTTCATACCATTAAAATAGATGGAAACAAAACCTTCAAGAAAAAAAAGAGAGATTTTAGATTAAATGCACAAAAAAAAATGTGGTTACAATTAAATTTGATGCTTACTAACTTGACAACCTGAATGGCATTTGGAATTTTCTGCCTTCCTGGTTCATACAAATATATTACATCATATTAAAACAGCCTGGAAGGGACTTGGAGATGATCTAGTACACCCTCCTATTTCATACCAAGGTCAGTTAGATTCGTGTGTTACCATTTATGAAAACTTAAATGTTAGAGACTACATAATCTTCAGTTTTGTTATCCTTGCACTTATTTTGTTGTTGTTGTTTTTTACTTATTTCTGCCATCTCTCTTACTTAATCTGAATCTATCTGCAGGTGTCCTTTATACTGGGAGTATGCAAAGCAGATTATTTCCCACAGACTTTATTCTATTTGAAGACATTTCACAGAATCACAGAACGGTTAAGGTTGGAAGGGACCTTTAGAGATCATCTAGTCCAACTCCCGTGCTCCGGCAGGGACACCCAGAGCATGTGGCACCAGGTGGCATTCAGGCGGGTTTTGAAAACTTCCAGAGACGGAGACTCCGCAACCTCCCTGGGCAGCCTGTTCCAAGGCTTTGTCACCCTCACAGCGAAGAAATTTCTATCTCCTCACATGGAGATGGAACTGCCTGTGTTGCAGCTTTCAGCCATTACCCCTTGTCCTGTCACTGGCCACCACTGAGAAGAGCTTGGCCCCTTCCTCCCTACATTCTCCCTCACAAACTTACACATGTTGATCAGATCCCCTCTCAGCCTTCTCTTCTGCAGGCTAAACAGGCCCAACTCAGTCTCTCCTCATACGAGAGATGTTCCAGTCCCTTAATCATCTTGGTTGCCTTCCACTGGACCCTCTCTAGAAGCTCCACCATTTATTATTACTATTTCCTTTCCCATCATCTCACTGGACATAGTGCTTTGCTTACTCCTTATCAGCATGGAGTATGAGGACTGTTTCATGTATCTTGCATGCACATTATGCAGTAGTGCAATATGCTCGTGGTTTGAAACTTTTTTTGGCAGCAGCATGACTTGCTATTAGATAGGGAATCCTAGTGCTTGACTGTAAGTCAATATTGCTGTAATGCTACGAAGCCTAGCACCCCTATCCTGAATTTGTGTGGCGAATTAACTTCAGACCCTTCTTCAACTTGTTACAATGTCACATCCCTCTGGGCTTCAGCTTGTTTCTGGTTTTAGTAAGCATGCTCTCTATTTTGAGGGGTTTAAAGAACATTGAGCAGAATAGGATCTAGGGCTTTTATGTCTGGACTGTCACTCAAACATATTTCTGGTTTGAAAGTTCTGACAGTTTATGGAGGTAGTAACAGATTTTGTATCTATCTTACTGAATTTTTTTCACAGCCATGGTTCCCATTACTTACAGAAAAACCACACAGTTCTTGCTAAGAGTCTTGCCGCAGCCAAATTGACTTGGGCACTTCTGTCCTCAGGGCATGTTGCTCTGATGTGAAAAGAAATGAGAAGAATATTAGRTTACTTGGATTTACAAATCTGTGCTGCTAACTCATCTCCTTTTTATCTCCTAAGTACAAACTCATAATTTGTTTGCTTATTTGTTATAGAAGTTTTCAGAGAGCTTAAGGAAATTTTGAGACCCTGTCACATCTGTCATTTGTAGACTTCAGATACTTCTTGACTTCCTGAATTTTCAAAGGTAACTGCTGACACATGTAAGAAACGATCAACCAGTTACATGTTTTCTAGGATGAAGCCTAGACTCAACAAATTATAAAACATCTAGTTCAGATAAGCCTGAACCTGTTTGTTCTTTGTTCTTTGTTCTTTGTTTCAAGGCTGAAATCTTGGCATTTGGCATTGTTCAATTGCACTAATTCCCATTTTCTGCTAACCTTTTTTGAGAAGACGATAAAGAGACCATAAATGGTTTGGCCTTCTAGGTGTCACCTGTCAGTAATATTCCCACTTGAAGAGCAGACCAGCGACTTTGGGGGTTGTGGTTTACTCAGTGATGTATCTGTAGGATCGTTTTCTGTTGCTCTTGGTATCTCCATCTTTCTTTGAGCCTTAGCTTTCTTTATTTTTGTCCCTAAATGCCTATATAATTTCTTTTATAATGACTCTTTAAGCAAGCTGATACAGTTTCATTTTCCTCCATGTTTTCAGTCTCCTGTAACATTTCTTTTCCTTTCTTTTAAGATACTTCACACTTGTAAAGAAGCTGCCATCCTAACTCTTTTTGCCCCATGAGATCTTACCTGCCAATTATCAGAGATTATTGCCTGGTTTTCAAACAAACAAACAAAAAAACCTTTTTGTTTTTCTGCTTTTATTTTCTTCCAAAGATTGTGAACCTCATCATGCATGGGCAGCATCTGTTTGCTTACCTGTACCTGTCATGTTGTACTTGTCATGTTGTCACTGTGTTTTATAAAACACAATCATTTTTGTCTTTTTTTTTCCCATATATGAAACCAACATATACATTAGTATACCTCTTCATTACTTTTGAGCATGCTGACAACTTCTAGTACAGAAAGATGCATTACATTCCTAAAAAAGCTTAGTGACAGCATTTTAAAACAATGAAGACAGACTACAGTGGAACAGCTGAGAGACAGAGAAATGTTTGTGGGATTCTGTGAGATAATATCATTGCTCTGTCATAGAGTGAATTATGTGAGGTAGGGAAATACCTATTTTAATTAACCAACTTTGTTATAGAAACACCTTTAGAGGAAGATCTTGATTTTGAAGAGAGGCCTGGTTTAGCACAGGCATTTCAATTGTTTACAGGAAGAGCATGTAGACACTAGGAGAAACTAATGAGAAAAAAAGGAGCTGCCTTCAGAAGAGTAATAGATGGTGAGAGGAAGGATAAAGTTGTGCAGTGTTCTGCTTATAAGAAAACGAGTATATTCTCATGCACTCTGGGGGAAGGTGGCAGCAAGTTGGAAATGCACTAATGATGATTATCAATGGAACTCAGTAAACTTTTCAAAAACTTTGGCTCATACCAAATACTTGCATTTGGAAGGCAGATTTACTTTCTGTTTTGCCAAAAAATACTGAGGAGTTTTAAAATTCCATTTACTTTTGAAAGGAAGCATAGAGGAACATCATCTGAAATGCTGCCTTTCCGAAGGAGCAGAACTCAGCTCACAGGGACCGAGCGGGCAGTGCTGAGGGCACTGAGCAGTTGCCAACCGCCCTCCAGGATCTGTCTGCTCCTCAGCTGCCAGGGATCGAGTGTTGCATGAGGACCAGCTCCAGCTTCTCCAGGCAGATAGCAAATGCTGGAGAACACCTTAAGATCTCAAAGGAAGAGTTCACAGGCTTTGTGTTCTTTTATTAGGTCTAGTGACAGACAATATCCAAAATTTTAGATATTTTAGCACTAAAGCATCCTCCCTGTTAAGGAGTTTTAAGTATTTATAGCCAGTTTAATACTCTTAACGTGAATGTGCAAACATCGACTTTGCACACACCATTTGTTGCACGTAAGCTCTTATATACAAGTCTTCCTTGGGCACAACTTTTTGCCTGTTACTTTGGGTAATACTGTTTTTTTTTTCACATCAGGCATTATTTTAGAATCTTCTGTGGTTTTAGTTCTACGGCAGCCTTTAAAGCAAATTACTAAGTTCTTGTGCACAAAGTACAAAGAGGAGTTGCAAAAGATTTGCATTAGTTGGCTAAAACTTGCTGCGAAAGTTCTCTGCGGCGGCGCTTGCCTGCCGATAACCGCAGCGCGGGGGCAGCACCAGCCGCGCGCGAGCCGCGGGCCCGGGCCCGCCCCCAGCTGCCCGCCCCCAGCGCCCCGCCAATCCGCGCCGCGCGGCGGCGGGCGCGGGAAGCGCGGCGGCGCGTACGGCTTACGCCGGCGTTGGGGCCGCATGGAGCCCGGCGGCAGCCAGCTGGAGCCCGGCTTTTCGCAGGCGGACACTCCGCGCCTCATCGTGGAGGACTCGCAGCCTGAGAGCGCGGGCGAGGGCAGCCTCGCCCCGTCGTCCCGCCAGCTCCTGGCGCGTCGCGGTCCGAGCCCCGTGCTGGTGGGTGCGGGCGGCGAGCGGCCCTCTGCGCGGCGCGGCCCTGCCTCACGCAGCGCTCTCCTCTCTTGCAGGAGCTCGTGCGTGGCCGCGGCGGGAGACGCGCAGGCGGCGGCGCAGGGCGGGCGCCAGGCGCAGGTAAGGGCGGGCGGGAGGCGGGCGCCAGGCGCAGGTAAGGGCGGGCGGGAGGCGGGCGCGGCCCTGACGCGCTGTGATTGCAGAGCTCATGGCGGCCCCTGCCCGCGCGGACGCCGTCGGCCCGCGCCGTCGCGTCGTGGAGGAGGAGCCGCTGCCGCCGCCGCCTGGCGGGCAGAGCAGGTGCGTGGCGGGGCGCGGGGCACCGGGCCCGCGCGGGGGCTCCGGGGACTGTAAGGGTGACTGTCTTGCAGCGTCCCCGGAGGGTCCGGAGCAGGGGAGGAAAGGGACGCCGAGGAGCGCACTGCTTCGCCCTGTGTGGAAGGTAACTCTCCCCTCAGATCTCTGATGTAATGAGAGGCCTCTGGGCCTCTGCAGACAGCCTGAGAAGAGAGCCTTTCTTGTTCAGGGTTTCATAAGTTGCTGTGATTTTTTTGTTTGTTTATTTTGTTAGCATCTCTTGAGTCTGTACAAACAGTCTCAGATTACTTTTGGGGTAATTTTCATGTGTATACTAGTGAAGGATGTTTTGTTTTAGATTCAGGCACGTCACAGCTGCAGTTTGGTGCTTTAGAGCTTTCACAGAGCCAGGACTTTGAGAGTGATTTTGCACCCAGTGAAGGAGATGCTGACCCTTTATCTTTAAAACTTGAGAAGAACAATACAAAAGATGGTAGGTAGACATGAGATTGGGAACACTTTTGTTGCTTTGTCACTTCCCAGCTTTCTTTGGCTTGTGGATGTTACCTTCCTTTGTGAGGAGGGCAGTCGCAGTTTGTACAAATGAGTTTGTAGGACGCTGGTAGTTGTAATGCTTTCTGCCTTCTCTTTCATTTGGACTTTTTCTTTCACTTGTTTTCTTCTTGTCTAAATGATATCATTGTTTATTATATCCGTTTCCAACTTTATTACCATAACATCCAGTTTACCTTTTTTTTTTTAATCGTGTTGATACTGATTTTTGTAATTGTTAAAGCTTGACTTAATATTTGTGTAATTTATGGAACCCCACATGTTTTTCACTGCAGAGTAATCTAGATGATCTTGGCAACAATATTTCTTTTGTGTCTTGCTAGAACTGAATGTGGGTAGCAGTGAAACTGTTTCCAGCAGAGAAACACATACTGCTCTAGAGTGCCCGCCAGGGATGCCTGAACGGTAAAACTGTCCACCTTCTCAGTAGCTAGATCTCTTGCTGAAATTTGCAAGATTTTCTTTGTGTGTATGTGATTTATTGCTAGAGTTTTAGGAGTAGGACAGGCTTCAAAGCAAATGAGGAAAGTGGAGAGAAAGGTGACGTTATTGAGAGATTTCTGCAGGAAGTATGCTAAGGGATTGGTACAGCAATACTGACTGAGGAGCAATGTTTTCATCTTTTTACAGAGCTAAAGACACCAAAAAGATTTTAAATTGTGGTAGCATTGGACTATAGAAAAATATACTAATTTCTAAAAGTTTAGGAATCTAAATATACTTAAGTAAATAGCTTCAACTTAAACTAAAACTTTAAGTATATGTCAGAACCTCAGTCACTGCAGTATGGAGTGATGGAGGAGAAATCTAGGGCTCTGTTGATTCTGCTATATGGAGTTATGTGTTGGACACTGCTGAGTACTTGCTCTCATAAGGTTTATAGTTTATTATTCTAATCATTTTTTCAGGTGTGAAATTTTTAGTTCATCTCATTGTCACACTTTGCCACAAAATAGTTTTTAAAAGCAAGTGAAACAATTCTTAGATTCCGCTTTGAGAAGAAGTCAGTAGAACAATCTACATTAGTAGAAGACTTTTAAAACTGCTTTGAAAGTGTAAATGGTCCAGGATGAACAACTCTTACTATTAAGCGATAGAATCTGTTCCTTTTCACCCCCTTGCTTTTCTTACTGTGCTATACGCAAACAAGTGAATAGATTGCTGATAAATTTTCTTTACAATTTTGTGGTAGTGTTTGATACCTTGAATTTCTCAGGTCAGTGACTGTATCTTACTTTTCTAGAACTCTGAATGAAGGAACAGAGGGTACCAAGAAACAAATTCATGTCTCTGATCTGCKTAAAACTGAGAAATCCCCTCATTGCAGTCATCAGGAGTCAGAGATCTTGTCAACTCAGGAAGAGATGTTTCCTGAGGATAATGCATCAGGTAACAATAGACAAACAGCTAAAATGTCTATCCCAGAGGTCATAACAATTCCTACTTGATCTTCTAGTATAAATAGAATTTAGTATCTTAGGATGTACAGAATACTTTATTTTTCACATTAAAAATGCTAGATGGCACTTCTTTTTACTAAAGTGAGATTGGTTTGTTAAATACTTTTTATTTTCCCTGTGTTTGTTGAAGAACAAAAATAAACCCGTTTCCCACTTCTGAAACTGGTAATAATAAGGCTGATTCTTTCTTGTGATRCACAACCTAAAGCATAAGTAAATACTGTAGACTTAATTATCATAATTAACTTGGGCAAAGTATTCCAGCTTAGTCATCTGAGTTGACATTTCTGCTACGAATTTTGCAGGATCCTACAACTGGAATCTTACTGCAGTTTTTTTCTGGGTGTTTTTTTTTTTTTTTTTTTTTTTTTCCTAACCCTCCAGCACAGCCTCTGCCTGATTTTGATATCTTGCAAGTAAAAAGGTTAATGAAAAACTACAGAGATTTTTAAAAATATCTTGATGGGGAAAGGTTTAGAAAATATATATATTTTGTTTTAATTTAAAATTTGAAAGGCAGCTCAGTCTACAAAGCATATGTTAAATGAAATTTCACTTAGTCTGKTTTTTTTTTTTTTGTTTGGTTGGTTTTATTTTGTGCAGCAGTGATCTTGCATGTGAACCCTCTGTAACCAGAGGGTTAAATAATGTGTTATTCAGACTGAGACAGTGGTCCTGGCAATGCATTTTTGCTTGTAAGAGCCTTGCCTATATTTGAATTCTTTTGATGAATCAGTACACCTCACTGTGAGTTGAGCCATTGGTGTTTTTTCTTGTAAAAATTCCCAAGTGCGAAGACTTATATATCTGGCCTTATTAAAAAAGTCCATTCTATAGCTACAAATGTACTTTTTTCCTCGTAAGTGTATCATAATCTAATTCTGCCCACTGTGCTTTTATATACTGTTTTTTTCGAGCTCTGTGTGGAAAAGCAGACCTGAGAAGTTACTTTGCAGTAGTGTGAATACCATAATTTTCTAATCAACTTGTCTTCTGACCAAACTGCTATTATTGTTTCCTTTCGTTTGAAATAGCCTCTGAGAGTGGCTGCATCATAACCAAAGTGGAAGAGGGAAGATCTCTAGCATGCACTCCTGCTCGCAGTCTGCACCTCCTACAGCTCTCTGGACAGGGATCCCATATGCCAGAGAGTCACTCCAAGTAAGCAGAGAACCCAAAGTGTATTTTGGTAGTTCCTGTACCATTTCCACTCTACTTATTCGGGGATTTATGCTATCTCTTCACCTTTGCTCCTGCAACCTACGCAAATTTGATCTCCACACATCCGTGTTTGTACCTTACATTTTGGAATAGCCACCAAATTAAAAGTTCTTGAACTTCCATTTACACGATTTAATTTCACATTATGTCTTTGCTTTATTTAGGTAGTATTAAATAAGAGATTGGGAGAGCTTTTCAGATCTCTCATYTACGTCTCCAGAGCAAAGAATGTTTGGCTTGCACCAGCTTTCTGGATTCCAAGCATCTTCTGTCAAAAAGCTGTAACTAGTTCATATTTCCTGAGCTGTGTTAGTTTATGGCCAGCTGGGCAAGGGATACTTCACATAGGAAGATTTTAGTGTAAAGAAGCATATCTTATATTTATTTCACAAAGAAGACTTATTGAGAGGAGATTGTATACAAGGGGAAGAAGCTGCGTGTTATTTAAGGGACCACTGTATTTCTAATACAGTGAATGATGCTGTAATCTCTGTTATACTTAGGAGATTGTTTGTTTTTGTTTTTTTTTTCTCGAAGGGGAGGGAAGGTTTCATTTCACTCTCTCTCTAAGGTGGAGAGCAAGGATGGTGCTGTCAGAGCAATAGGGCTGGGTACAGCCATGAGCAGATTGCGTGCTGGCCTAGTGCTGTTGGAGGCAGTGAGGGACATGCTGGTCTCCTAAATTTACAGTTAAATCTGTGCTGTCAGAGGAGATCCTAGTCACCTTTTCCCAGTCAGAGATCCAAAATAGTACTTCATCCTTTTGATATAAGATAGAGACGTATGAAACAATGAGGAATGGGAAAGATATGTGTCACTTACAATAGGACAGTAGTTCAGAGACATTAATTTTAAGCAGTACTCTGCAAAAACTCTGTATTTTTGAGATTTCCATGGCTAGGATACCATTTATTAAACCAAAATTTTAACAGATTGGATTCTTGAAAAAGGACCTTCCAAAACATCTGAAAATGCGATTTTATTATTTATTTATTTATTGGTGGTGGTAGTATGTTTGTTAACATGCTTGTTGTTGCTATTGGCCATAAAAATATCCTTTTTGACTAACTTGTTGAGCTGTTGGTGTGCTCTGTGCTAATCTTCTGATCTCTTAGGGATTTAGGCTGAGAATCTTGGTTCTTTTAATGTGTACTCAGTCTGTTTGCAAAAGTACACAGTTGTCCGAGAAGATGCTGCCCTTACCCCTCTTTCTTACTGGCATGTCATAATTGACCATGTAAAAGAACTGACTTTGTTTCAGCTTAAGCAAACAGTATTTAACATCAGCATTGTTAGAGGAGCTTAAGTTTATTTTGCAATGAAATAAACAGTGCTCTTGCGATAAATAACCATGTCAGGTCTCTTGCTAGCAAACATCTGACCCTATGAGTGGAAGTGTGATAAGCTGGGGCTTTGTTGGGGAGAAGTTAACAAATTTTCTGCAGCTGTATGCTTTTTGCTTTTCTATGTTCTTTTCCTGGTATCTGTAGTGGTTCTTCAGGCCTAGTTGTTCCTTCTCCTGATGCCTTTGAAGCCAACACTCTTGTCCCTAGCAGTCCTACTGAACAGGAAGAAGCAAAAGGTAAAACTGTCTGGTTTTACTTAAACTGATTTTTTTGAAACTGTTTTACTTAAACTAGTTCACCAGTTTAGTGGCTCATATAACTTTTTGATACTTAAAGACAAAATCTTTTAATAGAATGATGGAAACTGTAAGTATTACATAGGAATCTGCCAGTAATTTATTTTCTGCTCTTTCAAAATAGAAGAACATGTGGATATATCACTCCCAGCTGAMGGAACAAATTTGATACAGGAGAAGCGGAGAGCAGATGTGCTAGTGGAGATCAGCACCCCATGTATCCTACCAGAACCTCCTGTCTTGCTGCAGGCTTCAACTCCAGTGTCCCAGTGTGCCCCAGCTTTCTTTCCTGGATCTTTGCCTATACCATCACAACCAGAGTTCTCTCATGTGAGGGTTCATGCAAATATTTTTCATAATTTTTTTTAATGTATTTTGTAAATATCTTTCAAACTTATTTTTCATAAGTTTCATACTATTCTATATGTAGCAGTTTATTCTTAAAGAAAAGGTACAGACCAATTTAAGAGGGAAAAATGAATTATTCAAAATAGGATCTATTGCCTTTTAATCTTTTTTTTGTGTTCTTTGTTTCCTTGAAAGTCGGTTGTTTTCAGATATTGATACACATATGTGTGACAAACCATGTTGTAAATTAACAAGGGCAAACCTTAGCATCATTTGTCACAAAGAAAGTGAAGCTGTTTTGAAATAAAATGAATTGACTTAACATATTTTTCTTATAGCTTTTTCTAACTTTCTCTTAATTTTAGCCACTGTTCCTTTTGTGCTKCTTGATTATGAAAAGTTAGTTACTATTCAAACATATTGAAAAGCCAGTTGGTGTCACTGGAGCTTAAAACAACAAAGCTCATTAACTCAAGGTAGAGAATAAAGTTTCTAGCGGAGACTGCAGTAGTAGAAACAAGTGGCTTCTGCTTATCTTGCCCCCATCCTTCAGGTTTGGTAACTGGAGGGACTAATATTTTTCATTCTGCCACAGAGGTGCCTAGAAATAATGGATGATGATCATTTTTCTCAACAAGGTGGTTGCAACCCATGCTCTTAGTAGTTTTGTGCTGAACTTGTGAACTGTCATCCAATGCCATGTTCTGTGACTAACATCAACCCTACTGTGAGCACCTTGATAGGACACACAACCTTTCCAGAAGAAGATAGTTCATGGTACTCTTCTTATTTCCCACTTTTTTTTTTTTCTCTCTTCATTTTAGGATATCTTTATTCCAACTCCAAGTCCAGAGGAGAGGCATAAAGGAGAAGATAAAACTGCTATTTTACCCCATTCATGCTTGTCTGGAGATCTTTCTGGACCCACAGGTGCTTTATCAAGGATGCCTGTAGGGGACTGTGTTTCACAGCCTTCCGACACCTGTAAGCTAATGCTTTCCGTCAGTGAATGTAGCCAGCCCACAAATACAGAAGACAGTTCAGGCTCTCTGGAAACTGGCCGAGAGAGTGAAAATACACAGATAGAGATGGTTTCTGAACGTAAGGCCTCTGGTTTGAGTCTCAGTTCCTTGAAGAATGACAATCTACAGCTGAGACTGGATGCAGGACACCAAGCTCTCTTTGAGAACTATGAAAAAGCAAAAGAGGAGGATGTCGAGGTCACAGGAAAGCCTGTAATGTTAGTTGCTGAAGGCATAGCAAATGATAGGTCATTAGTCCGTACGTGTGACAGCGATCATGAGTGCAGTTCTAGAAGACAGGTTGCTGCAGATCTGTCTGACCAGCCTAAGAGTTCATCATATACTCCAGGTAAAGCAGCACAGTTTGATAATCCACTGGAGGAAAATTCTGAACCTGAGGCAATTCCTGAGACTCAATGTGAAGAACAAGAAAAGCAGCAGGTAGAAATGAAGCAAGCAAATGAAGATGGGTCTCTTATCAACATAAGTGATACTCAGAAATTTATTCTTGAAAACAAAGTGCAGTGTCATGAAGAAATGGAAGTGGAATTGGCCGATGGTTCTTGTAAAAATATCAAAAACTTGTCAGATCAGACCCAGGAATTAGAAAAGTCTGAACCAAAAAACTGTGGGGAAAAAATTTCAAAAGCTTGCATTTTGGGCAATGCAGAGGTCMCAAACATGGAGAAACTGTCCTTTAGGAGTGTTTCAGAAAACATACCAAAGCTCAGTAAAGTCTTATCTCCGCCTTCTGTAGGAGGGTTATTGGAACAGCCCAACAATTTGCTTTCCAAGTTAAAGACTGACATTTCCTCAGAAGTGGCACTGTGTAAAAACCATCCTGACAGTTCTGAATTAGGTCAGATAATGAATCAGCCAGCATATCAGGAGAAAGGGGCTAATATGCTGGTGACTCTGCAAGAGAATCAGGTGCCAAAGAGTACAACAGATATTGTTATGACAAGGAATCTGGAGCAGGAAGAGCAGAAGCAGCCACAGGAGAAGGCAGCTGCCAAGTTCCCTAGTCCTTCCAGTGGTAAGTGAATTCAGGTTAGTTCTTTACTGAGTAATGTTAAGGACAGCTGTGTACAGTTCTTGGTGTTTTGGAGAAGCACCGATTGTGGGTATATATTGATTGGTGTATCTAAGAGCAGCACTACATGTGATACTGCTGTGTTACTTTTGTGTACTACTATCACATTACAATGTGTATGGTTTTTTTTTTCCCCCTCTATAACACTTTAACAGGCAATTATGATAAGTAGTTCTTGTTCCTAACACCCCCTCTCTATTTCATGGCAGGACTCTGACTGCAGCTTTAAAAATGCAAAATATTCTGACTTGGAGAATGTTCAGTGATGTTTGTTTGTTTGTTTATTTGGCAGAAGTAACAGTAATGTCCTTGAAAGCCAATGTGGTGGTCTGTACCTTCCCTCTTTCAGATCTCCTTATTCTTCTGTATTCTGCATTAGGGTGATTTTTCGTGGTAGAGATTAGAGCGTCATTGAGCTAGACACTAGACTAGCAAATTTATCTTTTTTTTTGTTTGTTTTGTTTTAAATTGAATGGCTTTGCACTCACACTTAAGCTATGGTCCAACAGATGTTTTAAAAAAGCAGAAGACAACATGGAAAGAAGCGGACTAGCTCACTCTTCATCTGTTCTTTTGCACTGCTTTTCTTGAGCTGGGATGAGATTTTATGCAGTGAGCCTAAACAGGAATGTTTCTGGTTGAAACCTAACCAACAAGAAATGGAGAAGGTTGCTCGCTTTCCAAAGCAGCTCTGAGTAGCTCTGCTAGTCAAGGATGAGAAATTAGTGACTAGAAAACATGTTAAGAGGAAAGAATGGGCCTATTTGGAAGTGACCCCAACAATGCTACCTTAATGCTATTCTCACTATAGCCTTATGCCTGTGTATATCACCTCTGTGTTAACATGACAGTACTTTAGCATTAAAATCACTTTAACATGCTGTTGTGTAGTTAAATAAGAAAACTGGAATGCTTCCCTGAGTTTTGTGGAGATTTTGCCTCTTCTTTGATATTATTTTAAAGCACACAAATGTACTCAAACACACAATCTCACTTTATTCGAGTGAGAAAGTAATATAAAACCAAAAAATTTTGTATTGTGTCATGCAAACTTTGGAGAATGTAAGCAGTCTTTCTATGAGGAATGATACTTTAGAGCTTTGCAGCTTTTTTTTTTTTTTTTGGTAACAGGTTTGACAGAAGAAGAGAAGGTGGTAGAAATTTGTCTTTTAAATTCATTGAAGCAATAGAGTTTGTCTTATATTTGCAAATAGGTGGAACATTTTCCCCTTTGTGACAGCAGTATTTACTGTCTCTGAAGTAGGTGAACATAAAAGTTGTGTGTGTCAATATTGTCAGTAGATTATTGTTGTCTCTATCCTCTGAACTGCTAGTATTCTATTAGAAATGTATTTAACCATTTATGCTGATTTGCTGGGTTCTTTATTCACTGTGAATTATTTAAGACCTTCAATTAGAGTAACATGGAAGATCAGGAGAGTTGGGCGGTCATATTAAATGAGATGTTTAGCAGGGAACATGCTTTTGAAACAACTGCTAAATACAAAATCCCCAGTCTGGGATTTTGATTTGTGCAATCTATAGAGTCATGGGTTAGGTAGAATTTCTCTTACCACTTGCAGGTTGTAGTATTTTAATATAGCTCTATAGTCTGTTCTGCAGAGCATTGTAAAAGTGATCAAGTTTTCTAGTTTTTCGTTTGAGAAATTAGTGTAAGAAATACTGTTTAAAAACATACCCTCCTGCTCAGTCAAATTTTTCCCTTTGCATACTCCCAGTTGCAAACGACCCTAAAAAGTTTCCTGCTCTTTTTCAGTGGGGGACATCTCTCATTTCCTCTGCCACTTTATGTCTTTTCCAGAGCTATATCTTTCTTCAGAACTCCTATGATCAATCTCATCCATCTGGTATTTTTATTGCTATTTTCTAAACTACTTGTTTACTTTTTACAGTTACGAAGTGATCTTCACTGCTGTTTGTGACAGCTGTGGCTGTTTCTTCCAGATAGCTTTTTGAGCTTATTCTTATGTGGCTCCTTCCCATTCTCTTCACTTCTTGTGACCTTGAACCCTGCTGACTTCTGGAACATGTGATCCTGTTTGGAAAGGTCAAAATGGCAGATTTCAAAAAAGGAGCAAGAGGAAGATCTTCCTTCTTTATGTCTGAACAGAAGTAGGTGAGATTAATTTGAAGTGCTAGATAGAGATTTGGATGAAAAGTGTTTGAGTATAATCTTGTGCATGTTTTTGATACCAAATTTTCTGGCAAGTTTGAGAAATGTAACTATTTAAATAGTATGGAGCAGGTTGATAAGAGGAAACTTAAGGTATTCAGAAATCGGAGGAAGATAATATCTTGTTTAGTGAGATAAAAATGACGAGTAAATACAGATTTCTGTATAAGTTATATTAATGAGGTATGGAAAAGAGATTTGAATGCTCATGTAGATAATCAATTTTGGAGGGACTTCCAGCACAAGATAATAGCAATTTTCAGTCTAGACTTTGATGTCAGTACTTCATGATCTGCTTTAAAAAGAAATAAAGTTCAAGTTACTGTCAAGGAGTGTGGAGCCTTGTGGCCAGAGTCTTAACATCACAAACACCGGTGAACACCCTGTGCAGTAGTGACTTCTTTTTCAGTGTAATAAAAATCCCTTTACTTCAGGGAGTCTGATCCATTTTTGCTTTAGATTTTAAAATTTCACTTTCTCCCATGTATTTATTCATACGTATAAAAATGGTAGTAGTAATTTAATAGGTGTCTTTCTTGTACCTGTTCTCCTGAATGTGACAGGACCAGTCAAATGTTTGGGATTTTCTGGTGATGTTTTCTTTCACATTCTATAACCATTCTATAATCACTGGCCACGGATTTCTTTCAGAATGTTAAAGAAAACTCTTTAATTGTTAAGAGACGGAGTGGAGTTTGTCAGCTGGCCAGAAATGTCAGGATCTCAATAACTACATAATGTTGAATGATAGGGAGAGAAAGTGGCATGTGCCTAAAATTTGATGCTGCACAGAAATGAAATAAAAAGTGTCTAGTTATAAAATATTAATAAAGAGTACTTTTTATATGGAAGATATCTTATTCATTCCTCCAAGGCATCTTTTCAATTTCTCTCCTTTCTTCCTACTTCCCTCTTCCCCCCCCCCCCCCAAGAAGAAGAAATAAATTAATTTCACTGTTGCATCTGAAGGGTAGCTTTTAGCCATATCCTAAATCAAATCCATATGAATTCTTCATGCTCTCTTGAATTTAAACTTTGCTTTTTCCTTTGCTAGAGCTACTGTTACCATTCCTTGCTGAACTCCCATTTGAGTAAGTGCAAAGTGATCTTTCCGTGAGCTTTTAAGAACGTTGCAGGTATCTTGCATTTTCTACTACCTGGTAAAGCATCTGTTTATGAAACAATCATTCTTTTGCAATATATATAACCAATTAAATTTTTATATTACAAAAATCTTTTAGGAACATCTGTTGTTCCAAGCAGAAGAGAAGAATTGCTTCCATAGACATGTTGTACAGCCTAGATAATATAGGCTGGTATTGGCCTTCTTCAGTGCTGATTCCTGTTAAACTTACTTTCGATCAGCTTTTTTTTTTTTTTTTTTTTTTTTTTTTTTTTTNCAGAGTTTTGTATTTACCTTTGAATTTCATGAGATTTCCATCAGACTATTTAGTATGTATGAGTCCTTTAGAATAGCATTTCTACTCTCCATCACATTGATTGCACCTCCTAATTTGGTGTAATCTCTGAACTTGCTGAGGCTGCATTCTGCATTATCTTTCAGATCATGAATAAAGATATTAAGCAGTATTGGTCCCAGTATTGACAGCTGAGGAATGCCACTGGTAACCAGCCACCATTTGAACTTCCTGATGGACTCTTAGACATGTTGGCAGCATGAAGGGTCTGTGATGGAATCAGAGTGGATCTGTGGTTCAAAAAATACGATTGTACTTCAGAGGTCTGTAGCAAAACTGTCCTGCAGCTTGAGTTGTTTTTGGGGGGATGATAAAGGAAGTTGGCTACTACTGGCCTTTGTCTTGACAGGAGCAATTCTATGCTGCCTGAGATTGGTGAGCCTTCCACTGACAGTTGGGAAATAATGTTGGTGCTGTCTGGGCTAACCAGTACTGATATATCTTTTTATTTTGCAGTATGTTTCAGTGAGCTTCAGGATCTTACAGCATTTGAGATTCTTCATCTAAGTAGAGTCTCTCTTTGTCTTGCATCTTCCACATGACAGAAACAACTGTATCTATTATCTAGCCCATTTTGCAAAACTATGAAATGCTTTGCTTCAACCAGCAAACTGGCTTTTAGCAATATGCAGATTTCTTTTGGAAGAAATAATTCTAATTCTATTCTTACACCTAGAACAGCTTTTTCTCTGGTGAAATATCAGATACAGCAGAAGTTGGGCAACCTTTCTTCATTACTTGCAATGACTTTTACCATGAATGGGCTTAAGGCATTTTGACAGTTCATATTAACTGTGAAGAATCTTTTTTTTCGAGCGGGAACATTTTCTGAATTTACTTTTGTCAACACAGATTTGGTTGCCTGTTAATGATGTTGTTAAAGTGGCAATTCTGAACTCTTAAGGATAGTCATGCTGGAACAGACTGAAGGTCCAGCACATACTGATGTACTGAGTAGAGTCAAAAGCAGAAGCATCAGAACAGAATAAGAATAGGCAAGCACATAATAAACTTCTCCCCAAGTTTTTTTCTATTTACAGTAAATTATTTTTTTAATCAGTCCAGTTTATTACAGCAGCATAAACTTCTAGCACTTGCATCATCCTAGGGCAAAAATACCGTTTTAATTATATTGTATAAAGACTTGGCTCTTTGTGATTTGAATGTGCCTTGAGGTCTTTTGTTTGATGCCTCCTAGTTGTTACATTCGAATTTAGTGAACAAGTAGTTGGCTGTAYTTGCTCTTCAGGATGTTCCTTATGTTATAGGTGTCTGTTATATCTCCTCTCAATCACTTTTTTTCCCTAAGCTGAAGAATCCAGGCATTCTTAATTGTTCCCTATGCAAAGTGTGTTGCATAGCTGTAATTGTCCTGTTTGTCCTTCCCTGAGACTCTCATATTCCTCCTGCCTTCTGAGAAGAACTGCATGCTGTATTCAAAATTCACATGAAGCATAGATTTAGAGTGATGTATTGATGTTCACTTCTGTTCTACTTTCCCAATAATTTTTTTTTGTTTTGCTTTTGTGATTACTAGTGAACATTAAGTTGTTTGGAGTTCACTTTTTAAGGCCTTTGTTTTCACTAGAGAAATCTATGTAAACCACAGTACTTCTGACAGTTTGTAAAGCCATAATGCATTCTAAACTTTGCTTAGTTGAGAGGGCAGTTTTAGAATACTTGCTTCATTTGGGAATTTCTGTTCTGGATAAATATGTTGTGTAGGGGCAGCCACAGTCACGTGTGGCACACTTCTTGAAGAGGTAACGGGCAGGGAGAAAAACAAGAACAGAGGGAGCTGCGCTTGGACTGCTTGAGCGCTGCAGGCTGGCCACTTGTGCAGTGGCAGCGTTGGAGAAGCATCAGCGCTGTGTGCAAAGCAGAAGAAAGGGGCAGGATACCTGGGCATCAGTTAGCTTGACAAGATTTGCAAGCTGCGCTTATCCCCTTTTATAGGAGGATGCAGTTTTGTGCTGTGCTAGTAGTACTGCTGTACTGCGCTGTAATATAGCACAACTCGTCCTGCAGAAGTGTTGTCTAAGCAATTGAAATTTTTGTACTTTAGTATTAGCAAACTTATGGGAGTTAGAGTGAGCCAAAAAACTTTTTGGTGCTGAAAGATAAAAGGAAATACTGTAGAATGATGGTCTTAAGGATATAAGCAAAGTCTGTAGGGAAAAGTAGCCCTTTTGTTATTAGAGCAGTTGATAAAGTTAGAAAACAGTTAAGCTTTTCAGGCATGCAAGTTTTTCAGGTCTTATGAATGTGAAAGCATGTTTGTTTAATAGTAACAGTTGGTTTAGTAATGACCTTTCAGTAGTTATCTTCCCCTAGAGATATAAGTTGATCATTTCTCAAGTGTTTTGTTCTTTCGATAATTTGATATTAATCTGAAAAATGTGAATTTTTAGTCTAGAATGGGTTTTTGATATACAAATGGGTCAAAACTTTATGGAGTTTTTTAAAATATTGATTTTTAAACAAAGTATTTTCTTAAATAGAGATTGCTATAAATCATATTACAGCAATGTGCAAGTTATTAGTGAAAAATAATCATTGGCCTTTTGATATGGGATGTACCCAAGCATGAGTATGAGATATTTGCTCACTGCAAGAATACACCTAAGACTTTAGGTTTATATTAAATATGTTGCAGTTCCTGAACCATTTCTTCAAAACTTGTGACAGCAGGGCAGATCATGCTGAGGGTAAATATTTAGAAGGACAATAAAGAGTTTTTCACCGGTCAGCGTTTTCTGAGGGAGGTGTTATATCTTTGTCATGTCCTGTATTTGTGGCATTTTTTGATGCAAGATAGCTATATAAATCACATTTTAGTGGCTTGTGCAAGGGAAGAATGATAAACTGCATCTGCCTACAGTTAGAAGTGGTATCTGAATGTTTAGCATTGGCTGTTGAATTTAGGTGTCTTGTACTCTTATAAACTCAACCAACAATTTCCTGCTTAGTTTTGTTTGTTTTTAAAAAATATGGTTATTATATTTCAGGACGTAAGTAAACTGTGAATTATGTTATTAAGATAATATCTTGGTGAAGTCCAAGCAACAAGTATAGCTTAATAAAAAGGGGAAAGAGGGGGATTAGTGACAGAGATGATGAAAACCTGTTTTGACTGCAGAATGGGAAGGAAAGAGTTAATCATTCATTCTATTAGTTTTGTTAAAAAAAAAATCTTTGCAATTTGGAAAGAGCGCGATCTGCAAATTACTGATACACCACACTGAGGATTTGTAAGTAGATAATAGGCAGTGAAAGAGGAGGAAGGAATATTTATCTGTTTTCTCTGGTAAATCCTAAAAGATCCAAATGTGATAAATCTATCAGGGAAGTGGTTTGCCTGATGGGATAGGCTGCTTCATTCAGCAGACTGCACAGACCCTTACACTAGAGTCTGTGCAAGGAGGTGTGGAAGTGCAGGAATGGACATAGTATGGGCCCAGTATGCAGTCGATTATGAAGCTACAAGACCTAACCCCCTAAGGTTTGCTCTCCAGGCAAGTTTCTTTTGTCACGGTCTAGCCCTGGGCTAGCATGTTGAGAACATGTTGAGTTTTGTACATGTCTGTCAGAAGTGTATCTGCTTACCACCAATGTATCTGATGATAAAGCGTCATTGTGTGCAAGTTTTCAGGGCTTTCAGCACACAACTCTGCCAGTTCACTTCAATTTTAATCCTTCATTTCTCCTTTTGGTCTTATCTCTCTTCTATGAAAATTCTAAGCATTTTTTTTCCAAGCAAAACTGCATTTTATAAGAAGTTTTACTCATGTCAGGATACTTGGCAACTGGGGACAACTCCATCAAAGTGACTACAGTCCAAACTCTTTCCGAGAGAGAACCTGAAATAATTTATGATACACATCACAAAAGTGTGAGGAAGATCAAGCAGAGTTGTTAGAGCAGCCATCCTGAGATCAGTAGCTCTTCTAGTTCAAATACAGTGCAGCACCAGTGTTGTGTTTCTCACTGCTCCCAGTGAGCCCTGGGCTTTCGGCATTTGAACAAAGGGACTCCCATCAGATTATTGATCCTGTCTCTCCATGTCTTTTAGGAACTCCAGTTCATTTTACTTTGCCAAAGGAGAGGGATGTCATTCAGCCCTTGATGAGCATAACACCCCCTCTTATTGGCCAGCTTAAAATGGGGCCCAGAAGGCACAGCACACCCATCGGTGAGTTTGACTTGAATGACCCTGTTCTGCTGTGGAAGCCTGTTTAAAATGTTTTGATTCTTGATGCAGGAGAGGAACCTAAACCCAGAGGAGTAGAAAACACTGCTGTGCTAAGATGACTCCTCGTCATTCTCCACTTGGTTTCTTCTTTTTGTCTTCGTCCCTAGTGAAGGAGTTAGTTCCCTGAGTAATTGGATAGTATGGAATATATTTTCCTTAAACTCATATTGCAGATATACCTTCTTTAGAGGATACAAAAGACCCCACTGATTAATTTAAAACTCTCTTTTCACTAAAAGATGATTGTTCCCAGTATTCATAATCTTTTTTGCAGAACTTTTTGGTTCATGAAACATCAGTCTGGATTAACTGAATAAAATAAAATGTTTTTGCTTTATTAATAGTAATGTATGCTAGTCACAAGCTAAAGATGGTGTCTTTGTTGTAGAACTTTTATGCTTCACTGTGCTGGGATGGCCAGACAGGTATTTCTGCTACTGCACCATTGCTACTAATGCATACAGCAAAGCATCTTTGAAAAACGAGAGGACCTGAACCCTGGTGTGATGGACCACAGCAGCTGCTCTCACTTTTTTCTGTTCTCCGGTTTTCAGCGGACAGTAGTTGTCCAGACAGCACTATAGCAACTAGTGATGTTACAGCAGAAGGTACAATGGGGACCACCAGCAGTGTCACAGTGGAAAGTGCCATGGTATCAACAGATGCATTGGAGGCGTGCGAGAAAAGAGATTCCGGTGCAGCTCTTGTTACTGATGCGAAGCTCTCTCTGCGAATGAACCTTATAACCCCTTCAAACGATGGGAGTGAGGAGTCTCTACCTTTCAGCTTGGAAAGTAAGAGAATGAAACTGGAAACAGAGAGGTTTACCCTAACTTGAAATTGTTCAGTGACGTTCCCTGAGAAGGTCTCAGAGTCAACTTCTGAAATCTTCTTTTTTTTTTTTTTCCTTCTCTTTTTGGGCAGTGTCACTTTAAATTTGTTTCTCTGTTTCTGCAATGCTTTAGGCAAGGATGCAGTGAGAGGAGAGACCTCTTTTCTGAGGAAAAGTATCTCCAGTAGACTAAAGTTACAATGTGGAGGGGCTGGCAGCACTCTTGGACAGGAACTGAGTTATACTGAGGAGGAAAAAGATATTAAAAAAATATAATCTGGAGATGTTTCAACTGTGTTTTAATCAGAGTGACGTTTAGTGTAATATTCTAAAATGTTTGCAAGCTCTGGACCATAGTGAAGAGCTGGGAGGGGAAGCTGGGTATCTTTCGTCTGGGACAGTCAGCCTTTCTAACTGCTGTGAGTACATGGGGTCTGTAAAGAGGAAGGTGACTGTTCAGATGTGACACCGGTTTGTTCTACTCTTTCCTCTCAGAGCCTACAGCCAGTGAAAGGAAAAATGGATCCTCTGTTGTTGCTGGTGCTCCTGCCAGGTAACTGAGACTCATTACTACGCAAAAAGGTTCAGTACAAAGGTCTTTGTAGATCTTCTGCTCATTACCAACAGCAGGAATAAAATAAAATGAGATGACCAAGTGGGGAGCTATTTTAAGAGGAACCATAGTGTTAAGAGTGCATAGTTAGTTCTTACAGTGTTTTTTATATCTAGACTTGGTGTATCACATGCTGTTCCCCTAATGACTGTGCTTTGCTTTTAAATCTTATTTTGTCCCTTTTGCTTATAGTCAAAGCAGAAATTTGTCATATTCAGTCCAAAATGCAATGTAGCCTATCCACTTTAAATTTTAAATAAGCATTTTTCTGAACAGCTCTTGGGGTATTTTGAAAGACAATATTCTTTTTGCAGAGGCAGATAGAAATGTATCTAACTGACTCAGTGATATACTGAGATCACAGTTAACATGTTGACCAGCATTTACGTTTTCCCCTTTTTCTTTCCATGTGTATTTGTTTACCTGTTACTCTGTATTTGCACAGTGCCTTGTATTGCTTGCTTTGAGGAATATGGTTGTCAGTACGCAGATCTGAGGCAGAAGATAGGGACCTGTGGTCATCTGACTGAAGTACAATGGTTTGAAATGGTGTTAAGATTCCAAAAGAAACTCAGTGTTGGCGGTCACAGGATTGTGTGCTGAATGGTTATCACGTCTCATTGAGAATATGTAGCCTTCATAGGTATAAGTTAAATTTGACTTAGGGTTGTTTTTATAGCTGTGATTTCCAGTATTTTTGTGGTCTTAAGAGGATCCTGACAAGCTTTAAATGATCTCATGGTTACCTTGGCGAAAGGTAGAGACCATTAAAATTAATGATAATACTGACCCTTTCTACCCTACATTTACTGGAATTATTGATTCTCTTGACTGTGAAGGTTTCTGAAGAGATTATAGGAATGCTTATGTAACTGCAAATTGTTTTTGATCCCTGAGACTGACCATCTTGACCTTATTCTGTGACTATAGATCAGCAAACTTAATTTTAATACTAGTTGGATTTGGGTGATTTTATTTTGTTTTTCCAAGTGGCGAGAAAATTCTATTTTTCTGACGGGGAATTTTTCTGTTCCTGATGTGTGTATGGTTTTTGCTTCTTTGTTTTCTTAATCTGTTAGCTCCCAGAAGTCATTGTCTGTGTTTAGTCATGTTTGTGAAGTTCGACGAGAGGATGAGGCCAGAGGCCATGGTCTTCCCACCTCTCCATTTAGGTAACTTCTTTCAATCTTTGCTTTTGAGTTCTGATTGAGCTTGCATACACATGTGTGGTGGGTTTTTTTTTTTTTTTTTTTTTTTTTTGTATGTCAACAAAAAACTCCAGTAGGTCACTGTTTTTGGGTGACTTAAAAGGCTGGGGATAACAGGGTAAGTGGAATCTGTATTGTATGCTGGTATGAGTCTCAAATGGAAATTGATCTATTTTGTTGAGTACAGTTGCTTTTAGAAGCTGATGGGGATAAGGTTGTAAGCTGAAGTATTAGGTGTAGGGATCTTCTGCTTCAGACTCCTCCAAGTGTCCCAAGTACATGAGAGAAGCTAATGGGTGCTTCTTACAAAGGTTCAGTGTATACCTGGTATATGTATACCAGTGTATACATATACCTGATAATGCTGTGACTGGATAGAGAAATTTTAGTGAAAACATGGGATGGCATTCATGTTTATGCTCCTGCCTTTTCTTCCCAGGTCTGGTTATGATTGTTTCAAGCCAATGGAATGCTGGAGCAGCCTGTAGCAGCTTCAAGGATGACATGACTTCTAGAAGCATTTTGCATAGTTGGTGCCTGATAGATATGTGGAACATAGGTCCATTAGGGTACATTACTAATGTTTTCAAAGGGTTTAGAATTGCTAATTTTTCTAGGTGTCAACCCGTCTTCTTCAACTAGGTGAATCAGTTGAGGGATGTCAGAAGTTTATTTCATGCTTTGAAAGCTCAACAAGTGAGTTTTGTACAATTCTACAAAGGAATTGAATGACTGACATCTTTTCTTAAAAAGCTTTCACTTGACTGCAGAATATTGGTCTTGCTTTTTTGATTGTTAATGCTGATCTGTATGTAAATGGTTTACAGGGGGAATCTATTCAGTTTTCCTGACACACAGGAAGATAAGGAACTGTGTAAAAGTCCTGGTAAATGGCAACATCAGCAGCACAAGGCAGAAGACAGTGGTGGACAGGTCCAAATTCCTCAGCAGTTGCAGCAGGACTGCAGTCAACAGCCTTCACACACAGAGGAAGTTGCATCTGTGGAGGCTGGTATTGTAAGCAGTCATAAAGAGGAAGGGGAAAGAGTGCCAAAGAAACCAAGCAAGGCTGTGACAACTGAAGAGAGGGTTGAAGGCCCAGAGAGRTGGGAAAACGCCAACAATAAAGGGATTCAAACTACAGCGGATTTTCTTTTTGCCCCAACAACTGTTACAACAGCAACACAAACGGCAGAAGAATCTTTTGGACAGGTGGAAGTGGGAACTAGTATGTCTGGACAAAGACCTGACCAACAAGATGCAAAGATACAAACTGAGGAGAGTGGGGAAAAACTTGTGAATGCCTCTGGAGAGGACACAGATTCTCTGCACAGTCAGGTAGGATGAAGGCTGCTTGTTTTTGATTTTGCTGTTATAGACTAGGTAGATATTTCTTTAGTCAGTAAATCACTTAGGGTAGTTGTTCTGATAGTAAGGGAAAAAAAATACTACTTTAAAATGTTAGTGTCACAAGCTTTCCTGGATGAACTTGACACAAATGCTAGGGTAACAGAACTCAGAAGAGTAGGTTTAGGATGTAAACATCTTTGTATTTCAGAGAAATGGTAGATGGTTTTTTTTTTTGATGTCCAGGTGTGATTAAAGTTATTTAAAAAAAACCAAAAAAAAACCTTCTATTGGATAGACATGGAAGTTGCAGGAGATTTTGAATGAAGGGTTTGATGCTTCTTACTTTGCACAAACCAACTTTCGACAGCTTCTTCTGCCACTCCACTGAAAATAGATAGGCATACTAGGGGATAGCTCCTCCTCCAGAGAAACAAACTGCTTCAGGTGTCCCTAGTGAATTGTCATCTTGAAATAAGTGCAGAACAAGGTGAATAACTTGAGATTAATATATCAGAAAGTTTGTCTACTTGAGAAGAATCATTGTTTCAAAGCTGCAAAGTGGTTGTTTTTAAGTTTGAATTAAGAATAGTGCTTTCTCTGGAAAATTTTGGGTTAGCAAGGCCAATAATATACAGTACTGTAGTGATGCGGTATGTTTGACGGTACACTGAATGAAGGCAGTGTCAGAAGCCATGCTAAGCAAGTGTACAGTTTCTTCCTTACATCACTTAATTTTCTCCTCTTCCAACCACCACCTTCCCCTTCTCCCAAGGCAGTCGTCAAGATGTGTTGTCTGATAAGCTTTAAACTGTTCTCCTTGTTCTTGTTTCTAACTTGCAATAAAATGTAGCTGCTGAAACATTCTTTGCAGCTTGAGCAGCACCATTTGTTTCTACTGCTTACTGCCTTAAAGCTCTTAGGTTAGCTGTTTCCTTTGACACTCACTATAGATGTTTCTGCTCTTTTTTTCCAAAAGCATTTGGGGTTTAGGAATGGTAACATCTTCTATGTGAGAATCTGAAAGAAACTGTCCCATGAGAACTGAACTACCAGGCAGATGCTGTTTTAATGTAGCTATTTCCTCATAATAAATCACGAAAAAAAAAAAGCCATGCTGCAAGTGTATCCTTACCCAGAGGATACTTGCTTTTGGCTGTAATCTTTTTTTTATTTTTTATTTATTCTGCTATTTTAGGGAGAGGAGGAATTTAACCTTCTTCATCCACCCAGAGGCCGAGTTCAACATCGCCACATACGAACTATTCGAGAAGTACGCACTGTTGTTACACGTGTCATCACAGACATTTACTACATAAATGGGGCAGAGGTGGAGCGAAAGATAGTTGAGGTAAGTTCTTGTTTCCAGGGCTAAATGTAATTGATACATGGGGAGCAAAACAAAATAAATTCAGATGAGAATGTGTTGTGGCTGCGGTGAACAAGCTGCTGAGAGGGGAGCTTTTCTCCATCAGTGAGCATGTAGAGTGCATAGTGCATGTTGTAAGTTCTGTGTATGTTGCTAGCGTCTTTCCTACCTATTACTGTCTTCGAAAGATATTCTGTTATCTTTTCTTGTTTAAGGAGACCTTATTATCCTCTTCCAATTATTTTAAAATTCTTGGGGAGGTTGTCAGAAAAAAAAGATTTCAGAATGGATAAGAATGCTATTGGGTCAGCAGGGATCACTTCTACCCTTCAGCTCTTTAAACCTAAATATGTAAGGGAACTTTGCCTTCTAGCCTGCTCTGCAACTCAGTGGCATTGACAGAACCCCCTCAATCTTTGATCTGTATAGACTCTTTCTGAGTGGTTATCTTCTGTTTCATGAATGTGGTTTCAACTTCTCAGTGCTCTTGTATGGTGATTGCAGCACCTCTATCTAGTAACCATTTGTCATCCTCTCTTTTCTTATAAGGAGACTGAGGAGCCCGTAGTGGAGTGCCAGGAGTGTGAGACTGATACATCCTCCTCTAGAAATGCAGCGGGCTCATCACTGACCTCGGGAGACCTTGGTGATGTCAGCTCCTTCTCATCCAAGGCCTCAAGCCTTCACCGGACATCCAGTGGAGCAAGCAGTGTTCACTCTGCTGTGCAGAGCAGCAGCAGCTCAGGACGAGGAACTGGCGCTCTCAAAGGGAAAGCGTGTGGGATGGAAGCTGGAGAGTTTGCTTTACCTGTTGGTAGAGGCATCTTAGGGAAACTAAGGTACTAGCAGACCTTTGGGAAAGGAAGAGTAGATGCTTTGTAGAAGTGAACAGCTCACTTGGGTGGAATGTGGAGTAGACCTTAAAAATTTTCTAGCTTGATGCACAAAAATGAGGAAGTAGTCTTTGCTTAATTAGCAGTAATGAGCCCTTTTTTTTTTTTTTTTTTTTTTTTTTTTTTTTTTTTTTTTTTNGTCCAAACAAATGAAAAATGGGGAGGTGTAATGAACAGGCAGGATAACTGTTTTTTTCCAAACAGTTAACAGTTAATGCTGTAGTCCTAGGAAAGGAGTTGGTCAGCCAGCATCGCCTCTCAGGGTTAGCCAGACGGGAGCAGTTCCTTGTGAGGAAGATGAAGATTCTCTGCTTGGCCCCCGTCAGGGTGGAAGAGCACCAGGGACACCGCGTGGACGAGGAAAAAGAGGCCGTCCACCATCACGAACAACTGGAACAAGGTACCCCAGGAAAGGAGATTAATCTAAACTTTATTGTCAAGGAAGAGAATGGGGAGCTGGTGTCTTAATGTAACAGAGAAAAAGGAGAGCAGAGTATTTTAAGGAACTAGTTTTTGAGAGGCAGCTTATAGAAATTGCAGATATCTCACCCAAATATTCTATGGCTGCTTTTCCTGATCTTTCTGGGGTTGCTTTGCTTTTTTTCTACAGAGATTTAACTGGATTGTCTGGTGTGGARGATCTCTCAACTACAGCATCACCCGAGGAAAAATCATTTACTCGTACAGTTCGCCTGCCAGATGGAGGGGAGAAATCTGATGCCGCAGGCTTCTGTGCCTTACGTCGAAGTGATTCTCCAGAAATCCCATTACAAGTGGTGGCTGGTCCTTCAGACTGTGTGGACTCATCCTCTGGAAACAGCTTTGTGGGCCTCAGGGTTGTAGCAAAGTGGTCCTCAAATGGCTTCTTCTATTCTGGGATGATTACCCAAGATGTTGGGGCAGGAAAATACAAACTGCTCTTTGATGATGGGTATGAATGTGATGTGTTAGGAAAAGATATTTTGCTCTGTGACCCTATCCCTCTGGAAACTGAGGTGACTGCGCTCTCAGAGGATGAGTACTTCAGTGCAGGTAAGAGCAGTACTCRCATTCAATCCTTAGTTTATCCAGGTTGCCTAATCCAATGGGGAGATGGTGCTTTTCCAGGAGGATGAGAAGCCTGGAAGCCAAGTTGGTTAACAACTGTCATTTGCTGTCTTGTCAGGTGTAGTGAAAGGACACCGGAAAGAGTCTGGTGAGCTGTATTACTGCATTGAAAAGGAAGGCCAACGGAAGTGGTACAAGCGGATGGCTGTTATCCTGTCTCTGGAGCAAGGAAATAAGCTCCGGGAACAGTTTGGCCTAGGTCCTTATGAACCTGTCACTCCTTTGACCAAGGCAGCTGACATCAGCCTCGGTAAGGAGAGGCTGCCTGAGCTCTTGTGTGTAGTTTGAAGACCTCACTTTCTGTATTTTGTGATTTTGAGATATTTCTGTTTCCTTATTTGAATATCCATGTCTAGATATTTCTGGGTATTTCAGAGTTGAGTGGGAACTACTTAAGAATTGTGCTGAGCCAGGCAGCCACATCTAAGTTCTGTGCACTGCCTCAGACTGCAGATTTTCTGAATTCACTGGGGAAGATTAGACTCTCATCCATGTAAAAGAAAACCTCTTAAAATTTAAGGGAAAGGCTCAGCTGGGCATAAAGACAAAATTGAGAGCAAAAAAAATCTAACATGCTGTTTGGCCTAGACTTTATAATGAGATCTTTGAGATTCTTTTCTTGGTGTATGTCAGTCAGGGGTTTGCTCAAATAGGAAAAAAAAAGGGCAGAAAAGGAGTGCTTTTAACAAATGTTTTAGCTAATGAAGTAACTTCTACATTCCGTCTACTGATACAGCAGGTTAGCCAAACTTCTTAATAGCTGAGTTTTCCTGGCTTGCTTTGTGTGACATCATAGTCTAGTCAACTTTGGCTTTCTAAAATATAACCTAGACTCCTACTACTTCAATTTAGCACAGCTTTGTCAGGCCTCTCTCCCAAATTCATATGTCACTCATTCAGCCACTCTACAGAGAGTTGCAGAGCTTGGGGAGCCGTGGGCGGGTATATACGTTGGTACCTCGCTAAGAGTGGAAGCCACAGAAGCAAGTTCTAGGATGTTGGTTACACTGTAATTCTTTTCCATATCCAAGCTCTTACCTTGAGGTCAACACTATTCAGTTTAGTCCTTATTTATTAAAGAATTGAACTGTTTAGTGTTTGCTGCTAATTAAAGCATTTATTTTGACAGTTTGCTTGTGTCTCTATCAAATGACTGACAGTGTAAGTCTAGCAAATTTTGCCATGGCCACATGCTGTATACCTCTGTTTTTTAAGTGACACCATATGAATGAAGCACAGGTATTTTCTTTTAAGAGRGAACATCAGTGCTTGCAGAGAGATAACTGAAAGTGGCGTGCTTGTAAGACAGTGATGGCAGTACTCACTTGTAGGTAATGGGTGGCTGCTGTGGTACTGATTGTTTGGTGATACTGTGAGGGAGACTGACAAGATACAGGACCTGAGGAGAAAGATGTACCTGCAAGTTTTTCTTTCTACTCTTTCCAGTCAGATGGTGATCTTATGTACCTGCTAGGTGCTTTCAAGCTTAGCAGTCTCTGAACAGATACGTAGGATGAAAGATTATGCTGTTAGATGACAGCTGATGACCAGTCAGAGCATCTGTGTTACAGATAACCTTGTGGAGGGGAAGCGGAAGCGACGTAGTAACTTTGGGTCTCCCAGCACTTCCAGCAGTAGCACAACTCCTACTCGTAAAGAGCTGGACAGTCCACGCAGCTCACTAGGAATGCTGTCTGGGAAGAGGAAACTTGTTGCTTCTGAAGATGAGAGAGTACCAGTTAAACGTGGACGCAAGTCAACAACAGTAAAGTCTGGTGAGAAGGTTGTTTTCTGCTCTTAAACTGATCATCAGCCCTTCCCCCCCTCCTCCCCCCTCGGTTGATATCTTTGTACTTATTCTTTCTGCTTCCCATCAGCAGAAAGCAGATTATATACCTCTTTGCTTGGCAAGGTTTGAGATGGATTCTCTTTGGATGCATTCAGCAGCTGCTTTTAGCAGAGTCTGAATACTTATCTGTCTTTTCTGTCTTTTGCAAATATCCTTTGCAACGTTGTTCTGATTTTAGTGCTGTGATTTGTTTCTCTCCTTGCTTGTACTGCTTAGTCAGTTCTGAATCACTTAGCTTTTAACACTTACTGCTGGGGAGGGGCCCTTTGTTTCAGAATGCTGACAGACTGGCAAACACTGTCATTCAGCATGTGATTTGAAGATCATTTGCAAACATAAGGGTAAAAGATTCCTACCTAGTCTAAGTTTAAGGCTGGCTTTATATTTTTCTTCTCTGTCTATGCTAGAAAAATAATAAAAATGAAGCATAATATAAATCCTTCCTGGGATATTTCTACTGAACTTTATTTTTAAGATTCATAGTGCTTTTCTGTTTCTCCACAGGAGCTGAGAGAGCAGTAGAGTTTGTGAGCACCTGTGAAAGTGTAGATGCTATAAACACCCCAGTACTGGAGGACCATCACAGCCCATTGCCTCACAACAAGACCCTCTTTTTGGGCTATGCCTTTCTTCTCACTATGGCAACACCAAGCGACAAACTGATCAATCGCCAGAAGCCATCAGATGGTCCTGCAGGGAGTAGTGAGGAGGAAGAAGGTGAGATCAGTCTTCGCATCGCATTTCCAAGTGGAACCATGTGGCTTTAGGAAAAAGGCTGGATGCTATTGATCAGTCACTTGTGCGAATGTGGTTTTTCTCTTTTACTGCTTAGTTCAAGAGATATTAGGCACTTTGAAGAAAGGAGTTAAAACTTGGATTGGAACGTTGCAAGCATCAGTGATGATTACAGGACTGTTCAGGCAATAAAGAAGTGGAAATTAGTCTTAAGAAAAGACTTCTGAAGTATGAGAAGGCTATCAGAGATATGAGAGAGTGCTGAGGACTTAAAAGCATGGCTAGATTGTTCCAAATTGCTTTTGCTGTGGTGGTGATTCATGGAATGAACTGCAGTATGATCAAAGCCACAACATGTTCGGTTGGCTGTTTTGGCCAGTGTTGTACTGCCCTTTCTGCTGCCTTATTTTTTTGGAGTCTCCTGAGGGATTTCTTCCAGGTGTTCCTGAGAGACAAAGCTGGGGTCTGTCTTGGGATCGGTGAGGGCTCTGTAGACTGAGGAGAGTATGTATATGAGATAGTTTAACCATAGATTTAACCTTCTCTTTTCTGCTGTAGAATTTTTAGAGATGACTCCATACAACAAGCATTACATAGCACAGCAGCTGCGAGCAGGAGCTGGCTATATTCTGGAAGACTTCAATGAAACACAGGTAAGAGCTTGCAGAGTGATTTAGACTCATAGAATCACAGATTAGTCGAGATTAGAAGGGATCTATGGAGATCTAGTCCAACACTTCTGCCTAAAGCTGTGTCTGTTAGGGCAGGTTGCTCAGGATGTTTTTTCAGTTGTTTTTTGACTATGCCCAAGAACGAGGGCTCCATAGGCTCTCTGGATAGCTTGTTTCAGTGTTTGACCGCTCTCAGAAAGGTTTCTTTCTTAAGTTGAAGTGGAATTTCCTGTATTTCGACACATGCCCATTGCTTTCTTGTCCTTTTACTGGATACCGCTGAGAAGAGAATGATCCCCACTCACTTATGTCCTCCCATCAGATAGTTATACTTATAGAAAAGAACCCCTTTAGCTTTCTCTTCAGCTTTCTCTTTTCAAGGTTCAAAAACTGTGGTGTGCTCAGCCTTTCCTTGCATGTCAGATGCTCCAGGTTCTTAATCATTTTAGAGTCCCTTTGCTGTACCTGCTGCCTTATGCCCATGTCTGTCTGCTGCTGGGTGAACACAGTAATCCAGATGTGGTCTCACGAATACTGAGCAGAGGGGAAGGATCACGTCCTTTGACCTGCTGTTAGCACTGGTCTTAATGTAGTCCATGCTGTTGCCTGCCTTTGCTGCAATGGCCCTTTGCTGGTTAATGATCAACAGATCATCCAAAAAGATGTGGTACACCTATATATCTATACACTTACATACATATGCATACATCACCCGGCCGTTTCCTAACAAAATTAAACTTTAGCTTTTGCAGCTTCTGGTGGGCCTGCCTAACTAATGTTAATCACTATGCAAAATGGTAGCAAGGAAGATATATTTGCAATAAATTCAAATCCCAGTATTTAAAAAAATAGAGAAAAAGAATATGGATCAATTAATCTGAAAGACACCAAATAACACTGTTAAACTGAGCCATATTGCAGCTGGTGAACAATTTAGTGATGATATTTTAGTTACACCAATCAGTAATATTATTTTCTGTAAAATAAGTTTTTTTTCAGGTGTATTTGGTGAGAACAATCCAGTTTGTTTAATAACTGAAACAGACTGTCCTTATGCGTATATGAATAATTTGTTATTCGTATTCGACCCTGTTTTGGTTGGTGGTTTTGTTTGTTTGCTTTTTCCTCAGTCAAAACCTAAGGAAAATACCATAAGGAATTCAAGGTAATTAATGGCCCATGGGGATAATGTAGGACAGGAAAGTATTAAACTATGTTCTCATTTTTATGGACAAATCTTAATTGCTTGATTCTATATACTTATTTGAAATACAAGGCATATAAATGTGAACAGATAGGCACATATGTACAAAACATACATACTGATGATGCAGTGAGGCTGACAAGAATTTATAAGCAATCATGACTCCAAGGATGAGCCTATTCCCCTTGGTTCAGTTATAAGCAAAATAAGAAAAACATCCTACAAATTGCAAGACTGATGGATTTAAGTTTGGGGTTGTGGTTTTGTTTGTTTTATTTTGCTTTGTTTTTCTCCAAATTGGAGAAAAATTTTAATTATTTTTTTAACGGAGAAGATAAGTCACGGAATCATTAAGGTTGGAAGGGACCTGTAGAGATCATCTAGTCCAACCCGCCTGCTCCAGCAGGGACACCCAGAACATGGGGCATAGGGTGGCATCCAGGCGGGGTTGGAAGATCTCCAGAGACGGAGACTCTACAACCTCCCTGGGCAGTCTGTGCCAGGGCTCCGTCAACCTCGCAGTGAAATTCCTCCTCACATGGAGATGGAACTTCCTGTGTTTCAACTTGCATGTATTGCCCCTTGTCCTATCACTGAACATAAGTTGCCCTTAGAACAACTTGTCTGAGGATATAGAGGATTGTCTGGTGGGAGGTCAGAACCTAAAAGATGAATTTCCTCCTCCCTCTCACCTGGAAGAAATTGACATGATATAAAAACTACTAGGTGTTTTTTTTGCCTGTATACTGCATGACTTAGAATAGGTAGTCATTTTAATTGCTTCAGACTTCAGGATTTGTTAGTCTAATTCATTTTTTCACGTAAAATGGCTGTAAAACTCCTAGTTTTGATAACTTTCTACTTGAAAGTGTTGACTGGCAGGATTCTTTCTGTGCAAACACTATGCATCTCCTGTTTATGTGTCTTTTATCTCCCCTGTAGTGTAATGCAGCATATCAGTGTCTTTTAATTGCGGACCAACATTGTCGAACTCGGACATATTTGCTGTGCCTTGCCAGAGGGATCCCTTGTGTGTCTCATATCTGGGTCCATGACAGCTGTCATGCCAATCAGCTTCAAAACTATCGGAATTACCTTTTGCCAGCTGGTTATAGTCTCCAGGAACAGAAGTTGCTAGAATGGTAAGTGCCAAAGAACCATGATCTGAGTGCACAGGCTGATGATGTAATTAAGGACAGAGAACTATTAGCTTGGAAGGTTCTTGACTACTTGCAAGGACTGAAGGTGTCCCTAATGCTGCTCCCCATGTTTTATTTTTCATATGGGAACAATTCTTTCTTGATTTTACAACGACATCTAGTGCCAAGATAGAATTGATTGTCCTCTACAAAAAGGCAGTCTCTTGGGAGATATCAGGGCAGAGGGGAGTTCAGTCTCCTCATAAGAAAGACCTAATACAGGCAAGACTTGCCACATCCTGCCTGCCTCTTCTAATTGCTCTGATTTGGATCAAAGGAGATGCCATTTCTCTTGCATATTTTGAAAGCAGCTTCTGCATTTGCTGCAGAATCTAACCCAGTAGGTTTGCTCTGAGAGAATATCTGTCACATCAAACTCATCAAGCAAGGTAAGTTTGATAAATAAGGGAGGTTTGTGAATGCCTGTGGGCTTCTGTGCAAGACACTGATGCCTGCCTCTTCTGCCTTATCAAAAGTGAGGGGTTTTGGATATGTACAGAAAAGGTGGCTCACAACGGGGGAGGAGATGAGCCTGACTTTGGATTTTTGGCCCCTGCATCTTTCCCCATGTGGTATTTTGGATCTCTGTTTTCCTATCTGTAAACAGAGGATAGTTGCTCCAGGAATTCCACTGGATTGGTAAGAGGACAAGTCATTGTCTGCACAATATTCAAGAAACCATATGGGAACCAGTCAAGTGATCAGATAAAAATTTCAAAAGTAACTCTACCTCTAGTTTCTAGATTACCCAAGATTCCTAGCAGTCTTCATTTTTCTTTTCTTCCAGGCACCCACGAGAAAATCTATTCCATAACTTGAAGGTTCTCCTGGTGTCAGACCAGCGGCAGAACTTCCTGGATCTGTGGTCTGAAATCCTCATGACAGGGGGAGCAGCATCTGTTAAACAGCATTACTCAAACACTCATAACAAAGGTACTCATTGACCAGTCTCCTCCAGTCTCTCATGCTTAGCAGCTAGGAATCCTCTGGTCTCTGGTAGAACTCGTTAAGATGCCTTATGAGGACATTCCTAAGAATAATGGATAAAAGGTCTTAGTTCTTTGCTAGAGTGTAATCTAGGAGATGCTTTTTTTCCACATAAGCATAAGCTGCAGTAATGTAGGATGTGGGCAGTTGACTTCCAGCCGGTATTAAAAGAGAGAAACTTGGTCCTGAGTTGCTCACAGACCTTCTGCAGCACACTGCATTTTCTCTTACTTGTCCGCTGAGCTGCCATGTGCACACTTAGCTGTCTCTCCATATGGGATGTAAGCCCTAGTAGTCACAGGCTAAAGTCAGGCATATTATCTTTTGGCTGTAATGTTGGCTACTGAGTTTCTGTTAGTTAATTTCTGTCTTGATTAGAGGGAATCCTTCACTTACAAGGTGAAGTCTTGCTGTAGAGCGTATCTGTACAAGAAGAATTCCCTGACTAGGAATGAGAGATGGAAGAGAGATTTGGAATAGTGAAACTACGCTGATCATCTGCAGCAGAGAAGGTCCTTTTCTCTTTAAAGTCTGATATATGCCTGTCTTTCCTCCTGCAGATATTGCTTTGGGTGTTTATGACGTGGTAGTGACTGATTTTTCCTGCCCAGCTGGTCTCTTGAAGTGTGCAGAAGCATTACGGCTGCCTGTTGTGTCCCAAGAGTGGGTGATCCAGAGCCTTATTGCTGGGGAGARAGTAGGCTACAGCAAGCATCCAAAATACAAACATGATTACGTCCCCCACTAAACAAGCCTATGCCCTGCCCGCCCTCTGTGCAGACTGTTTTAATCAGGTTTTAAATGTTTGTGTAGTTGAAGAATGTGCATGGATTACTGTATATAGTTTTATTTGCTGGACTTTTATGATGTAATAAATGTTAAATCTCTTGTGGTAAATCTCGTGCTAACTGCTGGGACTCCTGACTTACCTGAACTTATCCCAGAGTCTTATCCAGAGGGGAAGATAGGCCTACATTTCTCTAGACTAAATAACACTAATACTCTTCTATTTTCTACAAAGGTAGATGTCAACACAAAGGCACCTAGGAACAGAAGGAGAGATGTCACCTGACAGGCTGTATGCAGAAGAGTATACCTCTGTCCAAGTGCAGGGCTGCAGCAGCATTTCTCTTTGTTGAAAGAATGGTATGTTTAGTAACTCCCCCAGCTTGTTTTTTGTTATTTTCCAGGAACTTCAGCAAATGTTACTGAAATGACTGATAGAAGTTCCTAGGACAAAGTCCCACCTCTTTCTCTGCTGTCTTCCAGGCTACTCTCTTTTTCCTATCCTGACCATATGGGTATTAATCTGTCTGAATGCAGACTGGCACTAAATGGAGATATAAACACAGTGACCTAGAAAAAAACTAAACTGATGGGAGACTGAGATGCAAAAAGTATTTAAGTGACTTGTATTTGTTACAATGGGTGTAGGTTAATGGGGTAAACCCTCTGATTCTGAGCCGTTGCATTCAGTCAAGCATTTAAAATAAATATCAACTTAGCTAGAAGAGCTCAGTTTGAAAACTCTTCACTCTCTGGGTGCTGTATGCTAGAGCCTACTCTGGCCTCCATTCAGCCTTGAATACAATCTTTAGTCTTTTATTTCAAAAGCTTTTTTTTTTTTCCCCTCTTGATCTAGGTTCCTGCACCCATGTCCTAGATCAACTGTCATTTGAGTGACTTGCATTTTGAATAAGCAGGCCTGTAAATACAATGTGCTTTTTCCTATCAGTAACATCTTTTCTCTAATTTCTGTTTTTTTAATGGTCTGATAATTTTAAACTTTGCATAAGGCCTACAACTGTAATGTCCCATCATGAATGTCTATAGCGTATAGAAGATGACAGAGTTTTATTTGACTTTCCATTGTTACTGTTGTTGCTTTGTGAATGAACAAAGTGCATTTTCCTTTCAAGGGCACCTGGCTTTTCTGAGAGCTGCAGCTGAAGCTCTTGTGAAAATGTCACTTACTGAAAAGAACACCTGTTCTCTTGTGCCTTGGTCTTCACACTGGAAAACATAACAGTATCTGCCTGGAGGGCTCTTTGTGCCACCGGTCCAACCAGACTTTAGTCAAATTTGTCTGTCTGTTATTCCATAGCTAGTAAATCTGTGTTCTTAACCTACAAACTTTCCTCCAGCCACTCCAGCACCTCTTTCATTCAAACAGTGGCAGTATTTTACATATTGCAGATGCAGTATGGCCTTATTTTGATTCAGTATGATAGTCAGTAGTAGCATTCTAAATAGCTTTGAAGGAAAACAGATAACAGATACAGTAGATCTCTTAAGTTTTGCCTTATTCCAGTTCCAGCATCTTTTTTCCATATAGAATGGGCTTCACACTTTGAATAAAACAAAGCACTTTCGATGTTAAAATGAGTAATACATTTGCTGAATTTAAATTATACATTTGATATTATGAGCGGCTTGGATTTCTTACCTTTCCTCATGGGGTAGACTAATGCACTGTATGAAAGGTCCTCGTTCRGTTTATCCTGTCTTTGTCCTTGACCTGTCTAAACCATATTGTTAATGCTAAGGCTCTTAGAAACTCAGTTGTTTCATATATCTACAAGTAGGTGTGAGTAGGAGACAAATGTGAATAATAGAGGTAACTGCAAATCAGTTTATTGTATAAGTGAAACTTTTAGATACAGACAGAACTTGAACCATAATCAAAAATAGACCATTTATTCCATGTTCCAACTTGCAGAGGGTTATAGTCCAGGTGAAGAGCAAAGATATCATCATCCTTACATGTTTAAGAAGTTATCTACTGTCTCCCAGGAAGTATTTAGAAGTATTTACAGTGATGTAGAAAGCACGTTCATAGTTGTTCGGAATAAATGTAGTAGTTTTTCATAAATTACTAGGCAGTCTCATGTTTCTATCTGAAACGGTAGTTAGGTAGTGTTAGACAGTAGCACATGCTCTTGCAAACTCCCTCAGAGTACAGCGCTATCAGTCCCAACACGAAGAAGAGGTCTTAGTGCTCAAACCCCAAAACTGCAAGAGAAGAATACACTATTAACTTTATGTTAAAAGGCACTTGCTGTACCAGCACGCATCAGCTTCTGCAGCCACTGTTAACTACCAAGTAGCTCAACTTGATGCCAAAGCAAGCTTGAAGAGGAGAAAATATATGAAAACTAAAAATAAGTCATGGTGGTTTTGCTACTCTTCTGCCGTAGTATTAGCATTTTGCTTCTAATAATTTTGGCCTACACAATCAATAAAAAAATCACATTGATAGTTTCTTGTTTCAAGTAACTCTGCTACAAGCAACCCTCAAGATATTCCTACCTGCCCAAGGTTCCTCCAGCCTGGGTGTAGTATTTGTTATAATCCAAGCGTAGCAGCAGTTGAGCTAGGTCAGAGTTTATCTGATGGTTGCGAACACTAGAGAGAATCTTGAAGAGAAGCGATGACTGGCGACTGAATCCCTATAAAGCAGAGGAGGTCAGCTTTAGGCTCTCTCAGGAAATCTTTCATTGCTTCCTGCCTAAATATTCCTGAAGAAGAAAATCACTGCAAGAAAAGTGATGCTCTATAAGGTAAGCTGTCAGGCCCAATAATTATTTTGTGAGATATGTGGAAAGATAGCTAGAAGCACAAACTTAGGGACGTAATTTATTAGGCAGGATGGTGATGGCTTTACAGTGGGACTTGGTCTTTTTCAAGTGTGATGATTCTATGAAGCTGATATCTGCCTCTGCAACCTTTCTTATTCCAATTGAGTAATTTCTGTGTATCTCACCCCATTCCTGCCCCCTGTAGAGGTGGAATTTTTATCCAGGATCTGCAGAATCATTAAAATCATTGCAAGCACTCATACAGAAGGTCTGATGTGAGTTTAAATTCACTACAGCTGTTAAAACCAAGATTAACTTAGGCAGTTATTGCATAGGGGGAGAAAAGGTCCATTCACACATTCACCTTGACCAAAATGCTGAGTTGTGCAGCTCCGCGCTCATCTAATGGACCCAGATTCTGACTGACCAGAGAACAAAAGCTATGACAGAGATCCAGAATTTCATTTAAGCAGTGGAAAACCTGCATGAAAATAAAAAAGGTAGTAGTCAACAAATGGAGTTTTTCTAGTATTAGAAAAATTGCAGCATTCATAGTCAAGATGTTGCTGCTGTCATGTTTTCCAACCATGAGGAAGATGGTGGAGCATCTGTAGCATTTCCAAGAGTTTTCTAGGAAGACAGAACTTCTAACACTTGTGCTGCATCTTGCATCACCCCCCTTCTCTCTCCCAACTTTTTTTGAAGGGCAGTAGAAACTTTAGAGAGATTAATGTTCTGCAAGTTTCATTTAAAAGGAAGAATAGCTAAATGGCCAGATCCTGCAGAGTCTATCTCACACAGAAAACTAGGAAAAACTGAAATAGGAACTGGCATCAGCTGACGAATTGTCAACACAGGCAGAGAATTTGAGAACTGATTTTCCTATCCAACCACCAGGCTACAGTTGCAGAGATAAGGTTCAATGTTTCAGTTGCTCTGTTCACAAAACTTGTGGTTTTGGGAGACCAGTTGATAAATTTGTGGTCAGGAGTGTTACCAGAGCTGCTCAAATAGCTTGCAGACACAAACAGTGGATGCTTGGAAGGTTCCAGCTGTAAAGCTTGTACTTTGCCACATTTATGCTACACCTTCATATACCGAACAAAATAATGGAATGTAAAAGACCCAGAATATCACTGATCATGATTTCCTACCAACCTTCTCACTTAATTGTCTTTTTTTTTTTTTTGAGGCTGCATGTTTAATAAAGTTAACAGCTATCATTTAACATACTTTTGACTAAAACAACTCTACTCGAGCACCCCCTGAAGCATCCCAACTGTTATCCTCAAAGTATACATGAAGGAATTTTTACTAACCCAATACATTTCCAAGTAAAATCCAGTTCCTAACTTTTTGCTAGTTAGTATATAAATTGCCTGGGAGAAAAACAAATTTRTGTTGATTAAAAAATTGGTCAACTAATTGATGGCTAGCATAAAATTGATTTTAAAACTGCCAGGAATACAGCATCCCTCTTACTCAAGGCAAGTTAACTGATCTTCTGTACTTATACTCAGAAGAGGTGGTTTATTGCACCTGTTTCAAATCTGTGTATAAGCTCAGGGCAGCTGGAAAATATCTGGAAGTGTGAAAACAAGATTTACTTACAGGTTTTAGGAGGATGAAAGACTGAGCCAACAGATTGCTTAAGAAATGATCATGAGCCAAGCGTATGCTTTCAAAATCTCGGGTGGAGTTTATCTGCTGCAGAAGCTGTGAGAACTGAGATTCCAGTACATCCACCTGAGGAGTATGTCAACAAGTCTTAGTATATTTTTTTTAAAAGGACAGAAGTAGTTCAGCCCTTCTAGACATTTCATGTTAGAAACTTACCTTCCCTATAGCTATTCCTACCTTATAAGTTGAGCATCACTTTGACTCCTGACTAGATAGCTATATACAAGAATGCTACCTAATACAGGGAAAAGAAACAATTTTTGATGCCCAAGTAGAAGGGCAAACAGTCATTTCCTTTAAAAGTAACTAATAAGAAAGTAGGTAGCTAACACAAAGGTATTTGATTGTAGTCACCCGTTAATTTTACACTGGGAGATGCTATCTAGAGTCTCGGGCAAAGCTGCAGAAGTTCAACCTAATTGGAGAACCTAGGAAACTAGGTCCCCTCAGTTCAGATGTTATGGTTACTGTCAAATTGATTTGTCATTCTCACAAAATAATGCTACTCGTAGCTCATGGTTACATTTTAAGAATCTGCTTTTAACTTCAAGGTGTGAGATTATGGCTTTTTGCAGTTCCTAGAAAATAACCTTTAACTGGGCAAAAACTGGAACTCACTTAAAGGGACAGGGGAGGAAGACAGAGTGACGCTGCTTCAGGAAGGACTCTGGCTTCTCACAAATGCTTAGTAGCACTCGAGAGCTAGAATTCCTTCACTTCCAACAGCACTCAAAACTCTGCTGCCTCACAAATCCAAAAGCTTTATAAACTGCATTACTGACTCTGGGAAGAGTTATAGACGTATGTTCTGAATTCTTTATCTTAAATGCTCCTGCCATGAATTTCTGCCAGCCTGATTGACTGTTGCAGTTATCTTTGTCTGTAATTCATTACCTGCAGATAATACTGAAGATTGTCCACAAGAAAAGCCATGTGGTCCCTCAGACGCCACTTAATAGCATCCGTTCTGTTAGATTTCAAGTGCTTGCGCTGCATCTGGAGAGCCCAGCAGTGTTGTAGCTCAGCTTGAACCCGACGCACACTCAGCAGGTACTTGAACACGACATTGTACCTACAGTCAAAAAGTTGAGGATGTGTATTTTACTTGGGTACAGAATAATAATGTGAGACTAGAAAAAGAAATAGGAGGTGGTTGCTTGCCAGCATCCAAGCGAGGCCAGGTGAAAGCCCTGAGCAAATGATTCCTGGACAAGCTGGCAGCTCATGGTCTAGGCAGGTGTGCTCTTCCCTGAAGTGAAAAACTGCCTGGATGGTCAGGCCCAGACGGTGGTGGGGAATGAAGTTAAATCCAGCTGGCAGCTGGTCACAAATGATGTTCCCTGAGGGTCAGTGTTGGGGCCAGTCCTACTTAATAACATTTATCGATGACCTGGATGGAGGGGATTGAGTACACCCTCAGCAAGTTTGCAGATGACACCAAGCTGGGAGGAAGAGTTGATCTGCTTGAGGATAAGAATGCTCTGCAGAGGGATTTAGACAGGCTGGATTGATGGGTTAAGGGCAACTTCATAAGGTGCAACAAGGCCAAAGGACAAACAAGGCTTCCTGCACTAGACCTGCACAAAGTCTAACCACAGAGCGGCTAGAGAGCTGCGTGGCAGAAAAGGATCGGGACGTGTTGGTTGACAGACGGCTCTACGTGAGGCAGTAGCGTGCCCAGGTGGCAAAGAAGGCTAACAGTCTTCTGGCTAGTATAAGGAACAGTGCAGCCAGCAGGCCCAGGGAAGGAGCTAGGGAAGTGGATGCGGCTAGTGAGGCTGCATCTCAAATACCTTGTTTAGTTTTGGGTAACAAAGACTACACTACAAGAAAAACAAAGAAATGTGAGCAGATGGGCAGATAGACAATGACCCTACCCAGTACTTACTTTTCCAAAACAGCAGGAGTAAATAGAATGTGCAGTGGCCACTGAACTTTGTAAGAAAGGCCTAGAGCTGCCCATCCAGATGTAGGCGCTTCACGTGGTGATAACTCTCGGGAAGGCCCTTCACGAGTCTGAGAAGTATCTTGGGGAGAAAAAAAAAAAAAAAAAAAAAAGGTGCTGATAAGTCTTCCTTTCAGTCAAGGCAAACATGTCAAGGAAGAAAAGAGGAAAGAACAAAGAAGAGCC